GTTAATTCAAAATTAATTAGATGCTAACTGGATGGTAAACTGCCATCAACTGATGACAGTCAAATTATTTTACCACTCATCAATATAGTCAGAACTTAGAAACATGAGTTAATGTTTAGAGGTTGATTAAATTTTTGATTTTCATAATAAATAATTATCATTGAAACCAAAGATAAAAAGAAACATTTAATACAATCTTCTACAGCATTCTCTCATATAAGGAAATCATAGTTGACAAACGAAATATTTTTCTTTCACTAATAGGTCATGGGATTTCAATTATAATCACTAGCACTATTTCGTTTATAAGTAATGTATTCTATATATTCTAGTTTGATATTATTTGCTTAATACATTTGTGATGGTTCACATTCGTATAAGTGAACATCACACATATCCTGCTTCCATAGATTGAAAAAAGAAATTTAAATATCCTACAGTACACAAAACCTGGTTACTGAAATTAAGAATTTACCAACTAAACATATCTTAATCATTACAAATGGGAGAAGGGAAGAATTGTAGTGTTAGTCATTGGTTTTAGCCCATAATATATCTTATTCTAGTTTTCGGACATTTCATTCTATTCATTCTGCTTGAGTCATATTTTGACCTTGTTAATTATTCGCTTATTAGCCTTGACTGTTTTCATATGAGCGTATGTGTGTACACTTGAGGTCCCATGACTCATTACATGTCTGTAGTTTATTTTGTCCGCCTATAAATATTGAGTAATGCCTAGCTTGAAATGGAGTTGGCTTCTCAGCCATCCTCCTTGTGCGTCATTTTGCTTGGCTGTGTTTCATTCGCTTCATGTACGAAATATATGTATTTTCAAGTCAATTCTCGTTATTCGACTTATTTAATTCCGTGACTGGATAACGTGATCTAAGTCGACGATGATATACGAGAATAGGTGATAGCAAACATTCATATAATACAATCTGAAATGGAGTCAGATCAACGGGCCGCCTCAGAATCATTAATTGCTTCTCAATGGAATCTGATCAGTGTTAATCACTAGACAACGGAATGTTGGTTACTACTACGCTGTCAAATGGTGTAACTATCTTAATATGATACGAGACTAAACGTGGATGAAAAGTGATCACTTTTAACGTTACTTACTAAGACAATTGGTGAAATGATTTGTAATTCTGCAAGGAATATCACTTTATTCAATATTTCAGATACATCATACTGATAACTGCCAACCAGTACAAAACTTAAGTACATGTATTCCTGTAGACTACCTTCAATCTTACTTACTTTCGTACGAACATTCCATGTGCCTAAATTAATGGTTGCTATGGTTTTCAAAAAGGGCATCATCCTTGTGAATTCCAAAGGAACTCGGCTTCCATTATAAGATGTCATAACTCCTTTAATGAAGAACTAACTCCCAGGGTAGAGTTTAAATGGTTTGAATTATTTTTTCTGTTTGGAGTATTTTTAGAGAGTTAGTTTTCTACGGGATGGGGTTGCTAACCCCATGTTCGACCCTCCTCTTTCATCCAGGCTTGGGACCGGCAGTATCCCCAGGAGGGCTACAGGCGGAGTTACCTTCAATGAACCAACTTCAAAAAATACTTAGTAATGCTAAATCCCTTAGATAATTTAATACCTGGCATATTGGTCTACAAAATGCGATCACCCTTGAAGAGCGTAAACAATGGGATGTTGATAAATAATAATTAATGTGAATAATTTGTAAAAAAAGAAACTTTAATTAGCTAATATTGTGAGAATTATCAGGAGTTTTGTGAAGATTTTAGTCATTTCAATAGTTGAAATCATGAGTCAATTGAAGCTAGACCACCATGGAAGACCTGGAAGCACTGAACGGCCGTTTCGTCCCAATACGGGACTCCTCAGCAGCGCGCATCCACAATCCCTCCCAACGCGAGATTCGAACCCAGGACATTAACACCGCTGTATGGCCAGCTCAGCGATCTAATGAAAAGTTCCAAAGTAAAATAAAACAGCTGTTCAGTTATCCTTTATTCTCAATGGTTTCATGATTAATATCGATTTGAGATAGAGATTTATTTTAATAACTTAAAAGTTAGAAATCAAACTTAATTGCTTTGAAATTATACAATTATATGGTGTTGATTTAGTAATACATAAATGTGGTTGAAATACATACTTCATGTCTGCACTAAAATGAACGATACTGCATTGAAGGACTTTTTATTATCATATTACATTTCTATTGGGTCTCAATTATCCTAGACTATACCGACCAACCCCATAGTCAGCTATATAACAGTTAGGATATTCAGACCACAAATGGTAATTATCAACAATGTATAGTAACGGTGTTCTTTTCTTTGATTTGTGTAGTTTATCAGAATGGGGATTGTAGTAATTTTAATAGTTGAATTCATGAGTATAGTTTGATTGGGTACTTTTTTTATCTTTTTAAAAATTGTTATCAACACCAAAAAAACTGTAGAATAAATGAAAGTTCACATGTATCTGAGTACACGTGGAAGCTTTGTAAGAAATATAAGTCTTTGTAGATTTCCAAGAAAAGTGCTTAGTATACATAAGGTAGTTCCTAGTTTTAATGAGTCTGTGAGATAGTAAGACAATGATTTTGTTTTTCTAAACATGGGATTAATCCTATTAAGGTAAATCATATGAACTTCATAACCGAAACCCATGATTAGTCCTGAAGTGATTTCTTTTTAGACAACTTAGCAGCCACTATCCAGCCTCGATGCATCAGTAAGAAATGGAGTAAAATAGTTGACAATTTTGCTCAACAGAATTCCATTTGGTGTATTTTTAAAATCACAGTTATGTTGACAATGTGTATATTGGTGTATAACAAGGCTTTATTCGGTATTAGTAGGTCGACATTATTCCTTAACTTATTTCGTGTTCCATCAAGTCTTGTGAAAAAAACTTTTGGTCAACGAAATCAACTACAGACACCAGGTTACGAAATATGACTACAGTTTGTAGTTGTGAGGATCACTATGCTTCAAATTGTGTCGCAGGGCGAATATCTGAACTGTCTGAAAACAGATCGCCTTTTCTGTGTTTGCTTTTCTCAAGATTTAGTTAACAGCTAGATAATTACGAGAGCGAATATCTCAAACAATAAGTTCTGTTATCTATAATTCCTCACTGACAAGACTCAACACTGAAGACCTAGTCGTTCTACTACCATGTGGCAGTCTTCTGTTGGAACATGTTAACTAATGAGTGCATAGAAAAACTTCAATTTTTAAAGCTTCACATACATGCGGTAATGCGGAATCGAAATTATTTGCAATTTAATCCATTCTTTACAATTTTTCACATTTATCAGCTTGAATAAAAAAGAACAAGTAACACGGCAGAATAATATCCCAAACAAACAAAAAAGAGGAAATAAAGGCAAACCTTGAGGAAATTCAAATGAATACATTCACTACGTAGATTCTCTTCAGCTGCCTACAACTTAAAACTACAGTATTAGTAACTAAAACGAAACAGGTGTACATCTTTTACAGCGGATATCAATCCACGAAATGGGTGAATTCATGTCGTCCTAACAAAATAATTGTTATTTCTTGAAGTTAATCCACTTTTAGATATGACAATGCCACCAAGCCTGCTCAAATAGAAGGCAACCGATACAGCACACTATACAGACAATTGAAATCGACATTAGTGTGATCATCAAGCTACACAAAAAGCAGTAGTATGACTCATGCGTAACCAAGACCAGAGCGTTTTAGAAATAGGTTAGAAAATTTGTTATGTTGTGTACTGGTGAATTTTAGCCAATAACCTGAGAGCAAGATTCAAGATAGGGGGGAGAACATTAAATTTTATCTTATTACTGGCTTAGTCTAAGCTTCAATCTCATTGGTTAATTTCTTAGGTCTTAATCAGTTGACCTTCTTTACAATTGGTTATAATGTGGAGACAAAGGTGATTATAAGTAAAATTTGTGGTTGATACTCACTACCGCGTTAGTAGTCGGTAATTTGTCTAGTTTTTTTGTGGTCTGTGTTTTTGTTTTTGTCAGACATCAGCTGAGACGAACTTAAATTCGGCGAACACCAGGTCATGATTGTATTCTAGACTATGATTTCGACGGAACGTCATCAAGAGTACAACTTCACATAAAACTGTAATTTACGTTTTTAATTCAGGACATGGTGGATGTATTCCATATATAAGATTTCCCAACTCTAGTTATTATGTAATATTATTCTGTCCTATCAGGGTTTGATAATCAATTTAGATCTCACCTCAGCAACATGTTTATCTGGAAAGTATTTAGGATTGTGCGAAATGACTAATTTCATAGTTCGAGCCGGAGTTTCGCATTCCCAAACTCTATTTAAGACAGCCTTAAAACAAGAAATAGTCTTCATTGTGATTCTCTTCGAAATTTTAGATACTTTCGTCTGGTAACTTCTTCCATACATTCGAGACGTTATGATTAACTCGAACATAACATGTCACAATATCTATGGTAACAGCAGTGATGCATGTTAACGACCTCAGCCGAAACGTCAAGAAAAGGGTAGCGGAGTTTATTGACATTCTCTGAACTGATAGGTAGTCAGAGACGTACTTCGGGCTCCAAACGCACTGAGGAGCGATAAAAGTTTGATAAAACATGTACATCGTTATAGTGATAGGTTTTTGGAGCAATATATATAAGACAACAGTGATACGTAACACCAGGTTAGTGTTCAGATTCCACTGGGAAGCTTACATTACTGTTAACTGTTAGTGCAACTATCCCCTTAAAAGGTGAAACCAGACGGTTGGGGCCGTGACCTAATTTCGAGGATTTGTCCACATGGTCTTCATCTACCCTCTAATTACCCACTTTTCTCTAAAAACCTAAGGTTAACATAAGTTTCCTGACTCTTAGTGAATTAGAAAAGATCGAAACCAGTTTAAAGCGAGCTAGAGCACTTGGACCTGATGGATTTACGCCATTCGTTTTCAAGAATCCTAACCCTAATTAAACAGTTAGGCTAAGTAAAATAACCAGAAACTGGACCCAATATTATCTCGGTCACTAGTCGTCTGAGTTTGTGAGTAAGGAATAAAACCCTTTGTGATAACCAACTAGTTCATTTGTTCTAGTGTCTAGAAAAATGACCTCTGTAATCAGTCGATGCCTAATTATATCCTCTAAACGGCAAAGTACGGGTATACTATATAGCAGTCGTTTCTGCCTTGATTTGCGACTACAGTATGTGGTCTATGAAAACAGGATATTCGTAAGTAATTATTGTTTGATTATAAGTGATTTCTAATTGTAACTAGCTATCATCATTCCCATTTTGCAGTATATTGTGACTGACTAGTTGCATTGGCATTAGAAATTTTTGTTCTCAGTAATTGTTTCCAGTGGGTTTCTTCTGCGAGTTCGATATCTACAGTAGCGTTCGAATCATATGTCATCTCTTAATCACTCAGTCATTTACAACGTAGAACCTGTACGTATATACGTCGGTTCAAGTTTCCATAGCTCAGCACGGAGAGATGAAGTTTTCAGGCTGAATATCAGGATAGTAGAGGTAGTAACAGTACCAGTCGTAATAAAAAAGATTAGGCATCTGAAATACTATTCGAGAAGAAAACATAAGTCAGTGAAATGAAAACAAAAAATTATGAGGAATTTAGAATCTCATAATTTGGGGAAAAGACAGAACAAATCCACCTGGGCCACGGAACGATTTTGAGCCATGTCGCCCCTAACCATTGTTGCAATAATCACGCGGACCCCAGCCACGTAGGCTACATACCCAAGTCCAAATATCAGTGACTTCGTGGACTGATGCCATGTTTTGGTTTGGCCGCCACTAGCTGTCTTCCAGCCTACCCCTGCACTGTACAACATCGCCCCTCGAGGTGGGCGGTTGTTGGGTACACGTAACACATGTCCTAACCTGTCATCTCTATCCTTATTATTAAGCAACTGATGCTAAAGATACAAATATATCTTTGTCTCTTATTTTTGTTGTCCATTATAAATAATTTGTAGTTAGTTTAGTCATTTGTGCCTTCAAGCTCATAATGTAGGTTTCCACACTACAAATCACTAGGGTTAGGGTATATATATTTGCTCACTATTACGACGTTTAACTTCGGATTGCTAATTATCTTTTGCTTTTTTGACAGCAATTCGAATACAGTTTTAAAGACGCTGATAAAATGCAGCCTCTTGATAGCACTGAGCAACAATACCAGAATGTTTGGACTGCGTTTCTCACCCTCTAAATGCAAGGTGTTACTTCACGACTGGCCTGCGTCAACACCTGAACTAAGGATAGGGAGTGAAGTAGTCGAACGCGTTGACAACTTCACTTATCTTGGAAGTCCGATCAGCCCTAATGGGTTGGTGTCTGACGAAATCTCCGCACGGACTCAAAAATCCTCTTTTGGCTTTTGCTAAATTACGTTACCTATGGTGAAGTCGAGATATCCGTCTATCAATTAAGGGACGAGTATACTGAGCAGTAGTTCCTTCTGTTCTACTTTATGTATGCGAAACATGGCCATTAGGAGTAGAAGATACTCGTAAGTTCCTAGTATTTGATCACAGATGTCCTAGAAATATTGCTCACATCTGCTGGAATCACGGTGTAAGTAATAGTCAGGTTAGACGCAGGAAATTAGGGAATGATGGTAAATCAGTTGATAAGGTTGTGAATCTTCACCGACTGAGATGGTTCGACCACGTGTTACGCACACTCAACCACCGACTACCACGGCACGCAATGCTAATTAATGTTGGAGATAGATGGAAGAATGTTAGGGTCGGCCGAACCAAAACGTGGTATCAGCCCATATCCCGACCGAAGCTGCTACCCTGACGCGGTGGTCGGGCTTGCCTATCGTGATGACCCAACCGAGCCATATTGGCTGGAACATATGTTCCTGTAGGTTCTACCATGCCAGGAAGGTCGATTGGGGAACGGTAAGACTAAAAGCAGCAACTCAAGGTCTGAGGGCGAAGTCGTACTGCTGACTGTAGAGGGGTGTGACAGCAGTAAGGTGTTTCCCTCGGACAACCAGCGTCTGCATCGATGCTGCCTTCTCACAAGGAGGGGTGGGGTTAGAAAAGGTCGACCCTAAAAATGTCACACCTCACCTTACCTCACGGATTTCCGTCTCCGGCAGTAAGGCTCTTTGAAGAACGGAGCTAACACATTGAAAACCTTCCACGAAAGGGCCGTGCGCGACCGGTCTCAAGCAGTTGTCCCTTGGGCTCTGCGGTCACGCTCCCTGGTCGTTAAGACCAACACTAATCCGACTTCTTTTTCAGGTTCCTCAAGAAATAACCTTCCACGGTGTGGGCAGCCGGGAAGTGATATCAGCCCTCATACCCGTAACAGCACACGAAACCAAGTTGGTCACATTCAAATCCTTCCTACACCTCCTAATACCTCTCTTATTTCCATGACTAACCCTCCTCACGTCTCTTTATCGCCTCGCACCGCTAGGGCAAAAGATTCGAGTACGCGGAACGTTATTCCTGGTCTACTGAAACCACGCTCTAAACTACACGTAGGAGCTTTTAACGTCCGAACACTGTGCAAAATAGGACAACAGGCTTCCTTAGCTAGGACTTTAGAATCCCGCGCCATCGATGTGTACTGCGTCTCCGAAACGCGCATACAGGATCCGAGTATCGTCATTCATCTGACCTCATCATGCCGAAATAAAGAACCGACTCGATTCACACTTCGTGTATCTGGAAGCCCTGAATCTGCTTCCCGTGGTCTCGCCGGCGTAGGTATAGCATTGAGTCGTAGGGCAGAACTAGCTCTCTTAGAGTGGATCCAAGTAGACAGTCGTTTGTGCGCTATCCGATTGAACGGAACAGTAAGGATCCGAAAAGATAGGGACACTCGTTGTTGCCTCTTCGTCGTCTCTGCCTATTCTCCCACTGACTGCAGCACAGATGATGTAAAAGATGAGTTTTACAGAAAGCTCTCCGACCTTCTCCTAAAAGCTAGGCGCTCGGATGTAGTAATAATGGCCGGTGACTTCAATGCTCAATTAGGTAAACTAAGCTATAGGGAAAGACACCTGGGTGGATCTTATGGTGTCGTGGCTCAAAGAGCAGATAATGGCGACCGTCTGTTGCAGCTATGCTCGGATAACGGCCTCTTTCTTGCAAATACTAACTTTAAACATAAGGAAAAACATCTTTTAACATGGAGACCCCCTACTTCGTCCCAACGTTGGACCCAAACAGATCACATCGCTATCAGTCACCGATGGAGGGGCTCGATAGAAGACTGTCGCTCATTCTGGAGCACATGCTTAGATTCAGATCATGCTCTAGTGCGAGCGCGTATTTGCTTGCGTTTTACTGGACGTAGGAAAGACGCTGCCCTACTTAATAATAGTCAAGCTAAGAGTATATTTCAGGAATAACTAGGAAAACAGTTAGGCAGCCATGTATGTGATGCCCACCCCGATGCAGCTTGGAATGATATCCGAAAAGCTGTGGAAACAGCAGTGATATCTGCTAGTAAGGTAAATCAGAAGGTTAGGGAGCAACACTGGATCTCAGCAGCATCTATCGCACTGATAGATGCTCGGAAACTCATTCCACCTGGCTCTGAACATAGTGAAGAGCGGAGTCAGCTTAAGCGCAAGCTGACAAGAAGTCTACGCAACGATCGCGAACAGTGGTGGGTAGCGAAAGCAAGAGAGATGGAAAAGGCAGCGGCAATAGGTAATAGCAGACAATTGTTTAGACTCGTTAAGGAAACCGGAATTAGGAACCCGACCGTTAGCGAAACAATCTCAGAGAAAGATGGACATATTATTCATTATCAATCCAGGAGATTGGATCGATGGGCAGAACACTTTAGGGATCGGTTCAACTGGCCTTCAGCCACACTTCGGTTTCCCACGATCTCCAGTCAACCTGAATGGCAAGCTAATGTAAGTCCTCAGTCTCTTTACGAAGTTGAAAAAGCCATAGGAAATCTGAAGCGAGGGAAAGCAGCAGGCCCTGACAGATTTACTCCTGAGACTTTTAAGGATGGTGGTTCAGTATTAGCAGTGAGATTAACTGAGGTCTTAGGTAGAATCTGGGAACTGGACGTAATTCCATCTGACGGGTCTCAATCACTGATCGTGCCAGTTTTTAAGAAAGGACAAAAGTCCTCTTGTGACAATCACAGAGGAATCAGTTCGACTAATATAGTGTCTAAAATATTAACTTCAATAATACTTCGACGCCTAACCAAAGCTCGTGAAGAGCAGACTAGAAAAAACCAGGCTGGTTTTCGACATGGACGTGGTTGTATAGACCAAATATTCACACTACGTCAGGTCCTAGAAAATAGACACAAATTCAGACGTCCCACAATGGTAGTATTTCTCGACCTTAAGGTGGCATTCGACTCTGTTGATCGTAAGGTTCTATGGCAGAGTTTGTCACTGAAAGGAGTACCAAAGAAGTACATTAACCTTATACAAGCTCTCTACTCGAACACATCTGGTAGAGTGAGAGCTTATGGCGAACTGTCATCAGAATTGATTACCTCAAGTGGTGTTCGTCAGGGCTGTCCACTCTCCCCATTCTTGTTCAACTTTGTGGTCGACGTACTTTTAGAGATGACACTCTCCTCATCTAAATTTCCAGGGGTTGAACTTCTACCGGGAGGTTCACTTGTTGACTTAGAATATGCAGATGACATAGTTTTATTTGGTGAAGACGCTGACAAAAAGCAGAGTCTTCTGATCACTCTAAGCAACAATGCAAGCATGTTCGGGATGCGATTCTCCCCCTCGAAATGCAGAATGTTGCTTCAGGATTGGGTTACATCGACACCCGAACTAGTGATAGGGAGTGAAGTAGTTGAGTGTGTCGACCGCTTCACTTATCTTGGAAGTCTCATCAGCCCTTATGGTCTGGTGTGTGACGAAATCTCAGCACGGATACAGAAGGCTCGACTAGCTTTTGCTAACTTGCGTCATTTATGGCGTAGGCGAGATATCCGTCCCCGAACGCCCTGGTACGGACGAGAGTGGGGAGAGTCCGCTCTCCCTCTCGAAATACTCTCACACCGCCGTGCGTATACAGCCTCTGCCAGGGAAGTCCTACTCATTGCCTTCTCGTGGCGGGGGTGTTGTTTACGAAAATGAGAGGAAGAAAAGCGAACGTCCGGCGCTTTAACCGGATCACAAACCAATGGTGCACATGGGCTCCAGTATCCTGCGGGAACAAATGGCGTATGAACCAATCGTTGGT